GGACAGTCGAACCCGGCGATAGTGATGCTCGCTCCGAGTATGATCGCTGATGGAAGGTAATGGCCTACTGGCAAGAATTTACCGGGTCGAGGGAGAAGGTAGAAAAAGTACGACGCATGTAGGCGCTCGAGGAGATTGTTCAGGGATCTCAGCGTGGATTCGAGTGTCCTTCCAAGAGTGTGAAAGCCGTGAGGACCCGTTGCAGGAGAGCAATAGAGTGTCGCCGAGTCGATACGGTGCTTAGCGAGCACACCATGTGCTGCACTAGGTCGACCTAACGCAGCGTGCCGGAAATGTTCCCACAGATGTTTCGCTGCAAGCTTGTATCGACCTAGAGGTGTGTCTGGATGTGGATCATCCGGGATGTTGTGCAGACGTGGTGGAACACCACCAGCCCATCGCGCAACATGTGAGACTGTGTTGATGAGGTCCTGGTTTGGCAGACGCCCATTGACGCCCTCTGACGTTAGCGGCGATACTATCTTTGCTCACCATAGAATATCCCAAGGTGGGAGAATGAATGTCCAGGGTAGTCGATGTTGAGTGCTGTCCAGATCACTCCGGGGAAGAGACCACGATACGCGCTCATAAAGTCCTCCAACCCCTCGAGGTATCCTTCGCCAACGACTAGGACAAGATCGAATGCCCAGTGATTTTGGCCTGAAGATGAGCGTGATTCTTGTGGGCACATACCTCTCAGGAATTCCCCCATCGCAAGGAGCATGGCCACACCACGAAGATTCGCCGTGCCATCCCGCGAAACCCAATTAGCGGACAGTAGAATCGCTTCGGTCCCGGAAGAACGAGGCGGTGTGATATGGGCATAGGTGCTGAGCGAGGTGTTTGAGGTAGATAAACCGGCCGCAGAGAAGGCTGACTGCAGGTATTCTGAGCGGCTAACATCAGCGCTATCCTCGTCAAATCCTTACCTAGCTGCATCATCCGGCAACGCCTCCAAAGAGTCGAGATATCTGTCCGCCTTGTGCACGTTGGACCAGTCGAAATACATGGTCACTTGTGCAGGCTGTATGGCATGCTCGTCGATATATGTGTTTTTCCACAGTCCTTCGTAAGGTAATGCCAAGATCCATGCTACACCCACAAGCACCATCACCGCCCTTTCATCAGCTTGTTCAACGGTCGGCTCACCTGACAAGGGGTATCCGTGCAGACACCGCGGCGATGATCTTCCGCCTCCGCCTGATGGTTTTTGCAAGAGCCACATGCTCGGGGCTGTAGTTGGTGCTAGTCAGCTTTGGCGGAGGTCGATTCCAGACCCTCGATAACATGTCGTTTGGCGAATCAAGGACCACGTCCAAACCAAAAACAACATGTTACACGCGGAGCTCCGCATTTGAGTAGACTGATTCTGATGGCGAGCTGTTTTCTCTCTTCTCTCTTTCTTCTTCATATTTCTCACTCGGTCGATGTGCACCTATGTTGGCACAGTTCCTCCGCCCGGGTTCTGAATCTGACACGTGAGCGTTGGGCAGATAGCGTTCTCTCTTCCAGCTCGACATCCGAATCATGCCTGCCAAGCTAAAGAGGCGACAACTACAACAAGACTGGTCCTGGGTTGGAACAGATGTTTCCAAGGTAGAGGACATTACTCCTGAGCATTGGCGTCGCGCCGCGGGTCTTGTTGATGTCGAGAGATGCCCATTTCCACTTCAACACGCTCGCAAAGCCTTTGAAGTCTACGAGGAGAGACACTTTTCCTTGGACAGCAAGTGTACAGCTAGCCGGTGTAGAAGATGGCCTGGTTGTTTGAATCATCTGGGGGCTGAGGAGGTGGGTGTGGATACAATATGTAGCTGATGAAAGCTCGTTGCTCCAGGAGCCAAGGAAGACTTCATCACGCTGGCGCTTGATTCTCTGCCGGAGAGAAGAAATGGTCATGCAGGGCTGAGGAACCTTGGCGCGACCTGCTACGTGAGTCTCCTGATGAACCAGCTGATGATAGGCCGCTGCCTTCCTCCAGCTGTGGTTTCATAACATCCCGTTTCGAAACGGCGTGTATCGCTGTGTCACGGCTGAAGGCACGCCACTCTACCATCTTGCCTTGGTCTTTGCCCAGCTACAGTTCTCCGAGAAGTCCATAGTCGATCCCATGGGCTTGATCGAGGCATTGAGGCTCAATACAGGGGATCAGCAGGATGCTGCAGAGTAAGTGATGGGTGGAGCGAGCTGATATCAGGTTTTCCAAGCTTTTCATGTCCCTTATCGCGTCCGAATTTGCAAAACAGCCCGATCCAGCACTCAAATCGCTTCTGACAGACTTGGTGAGGATCTGCTCTGACAATGCTGACGGCAGTTTGAAGGAACTTTGGAGTATACTACACAATGTGACCAATGCAAATACCAAAGCGAAACGACAAGCTCCTTCCTCGAGCTCGAGCTCAGCCTGGGCAAAGGTTCAACTCTAGACCGGTGCATTCAACAGTTCTTCGGCTTCGAGCGGCTCGATGGCGCAAACAAGTACTTTTGCTCGAGATGCAACGCACTTCGCCCCGCCACCCGCTCTGTTCGGCCAACCCGACTCCCCCCGGTCCTGCACTTTTCCCTGATGCGATTCGTGTTTGATCAGGCGACGATGTCAAGGAAGAAGAGTAAAGCGTCCATCTCGTATTCCAAGGAGATCAACCTGGGAGGCAAAGAGTATGAGTTGCAGGGGATCGTTACGCATCTTGGCACTAGTGTGAGTCGCACTGTCATACCCTGCTCATAACAGGCACATCACGGTCATTTTATTTGCGACGTCTTCGATCAAGAGTGGCTACGATGTAATGACGAAACGGTTACGAAGATCGAGGTCAAGAAGTCCCAAGAGCCCGACAAGAAGAAGGCTCGGCTCTACCCGAATGATGAAGCCTCCAAAGATGCTTACATGCTCGTGTACAAGATTAAGGGGACGACAAAACCGATCATGCCTCCGGCACATATCATGGAGAAGGTCACCCTGGACAACGCAGTATTCGAGTCCGAGATGGATCATCAAGGCCTCAAGTGAGTGGGCTTCAAGACTCTGCTTACGCAGGCGTCGAATCGCAGAGGACACTTTTTGCTTCCTGCAAGCCGGCAAGATGGACGTCGTCAAAGCCTTGCCTGGAGTAAGTCGGTCTATTTATGGAGCTGATGCAGAACGATTACCTCGTCTCGCGAGATGCTCTGGAGAAATGGATCCAGGCTAAATCACTCGAGGACCTGTTCAAGCCTTTCGACAATGCAGTATGCGAACATGGCGCGGTCGATCCGGAAAATGTCGGAGATTATCGCCTCATCTCCTGGTCAGCGGCCGATAAACTTACACAGTATATGACCTTTCCTGGCATCGACGTATGCCAACAGTGTGTCGAAGACGGCTTTCTCAAACGCTTGAATCTCGCCGAGCGGACCGAACAGCTCGCTACTTTTGAAGTCCTCAATGAAGGTCAAGCCGAGTATATGGTACCCCGTGCTTGGCTCAAGTTGTGGAAGGCGAGAAAAGCGGATGCGCCATCCGGCGAGCATTCCCTGCGTTGCGAGCACGCGCACCTCTCGCCGACTGCAGAGGCGGAAGTCATCACTTCGGATGCTTTTCAGTTGCTGCAGTCGCTATACGAGCTTGATCCGATCAAGCAAACTTACCCTACGTGCGAGATCTGCGCTGCGGCTACTGAAGACGATGAAGCCTTGCGCGAAGTCTGGGTGGCCCAACTTAAATTCAACAGGGGAATTTCGAAAGAGATGAACACAAAACCTCCAGTGTTCAAAGTCGAGCACTACCTCTTGCCGCCTGGATTTGACATGGACTGGAAAGACTACATCAGCAGCTTCCGGGCACGACCGCTTCTCGTCATGCCGCTCTGCGAGCACGGGTTTCTAACCCACGATCCCGGACAGGAGCCGATGCCGTTTATTACGGCCAAAGGTTGGGATATGTTGACTCGGGAAGATTCAGCGCCTGCGATCACCTTCCAGTTCAGCCCGAATCCTCTGCCCGGTAATCGTACGAATGTGATCGCATGCTCGCACCAGGTTTGTCAACCGTGTCGGGCCGAGCGTCTTCTCGACTTTACCGCGACCTCGATCCGCATCCTTCTCCCAAAGGATCCCGTCAATCTTGGCACAAAGCGCTCCACGAGATCGCGCGACAAAGAACGAGAGTTCCAGGTCACCAAGCAGACTACTATCAAAGATCTCAAGGTGCGGATATACGACGACTGCGGGATCTCACCCATCAATCAGCGACTCTACTATAATGATCGGGAGCTGAATTCAGACGACGTCATCGGTGCACTCAAGGTTCTTGCGGGAGATACTATCACCTGTGTCGAGGTGCTGGATGGTGACGATTTCGAGCAAGGTGGAATAGAGGGCTTTGGAGGAACGGCCTTATCTGGATTGACAGTGGAGACTGGTAAGTAGGATGAGGAGCGTTGCTGACGATAGCTTGCCGGCAGTGTACGCTGATCAACCAAGTTGGGGCGATTAGTTGCGAAGCATGTGGTGATATGTTCTGAGATTGGAGTGGACTTATACCTGCATTCGTCTATACCTGTGAATAGCACATTATGTCGATGAATTACAAGCTCTCATATCCCAACATCAACACAGCTATACAGCATCCTTCGAAGAGAACGGAGACGACCAAAGGGTTAATACGCCTGCAGAACTAGCGACATTCCATTGAGGTTGCTTAGATAGTAATGCGAGTCGAGCACAGAGGAGAACTACATACATGGGGATAGTATGCATGACACGAGTATGGATAATGTCGGATTACTGCTGGGTTGATTGCGAGTTCTGTTGAATGATGCCCCATCTGAGATCCGGCCATCACGTCCTACTACATAGAATTTCCTCAGCAAACTGTTTCTCTTCATTGCAACTTGAGCTGAAAAAACGGTGAAGTCCAGTGACGCATTCCCTTGGTTCGTCGCCAGCTAAATCATTTTCACTATATATACAGGTTAGATTCAGACTCTCCAATGCAAGGTCTTCAAAGACCAACCAGCAATGGTTCTTTAGCTCAGGGGTAGAGCGCGATCTTAACACGGTCGAGGTCGACGGTTCGAAACCGCCAAGAATCATCCTTTTTTGAGCTTTCTTTTTTTGGCTCCGTCATTTCTTCTTTTGGTCCTGTGATCACAACGTCACAGACCGAGTGGTTAATTGATGATCTGATGGACTCCTGCCTGACGCTCAGATCATATATATCAAAAAGACCGACGTTGAGAGACCCGGCTGTATGGAAACACGACCCTGGAGCCAGCCTGCCCTTCTGTGGCCGCCTTGTCCTTTATCTTTCTTCTTCCCCCCCCCCTCCCTCCACACCCACGAAGGAGCTCAGTAATGTATATGATATATGCATATGCTGTACATCTTTACTCGTCATCCTCATCAGAGTCATCATCTCCCGCGACATCCGTATTTGCTTGCGCAAATTGGTCCATCAAAGCCTTGAGCTCTGCGTCATCTGTTTCCGAGACTACCTTTGGCTAATAGAGAAGATAAGCATAACCTGAGCACTGATGACCAGACGGCGTAGACTTTGACTAACCTTCATCTTGACAGTCATATCCCCTTTCTCCTGTGTAATCTTCTCTCCGATAGCCTCCACAGCCTTCTCCATCAATTCGACGGCAGCGACCTTGTCTGTACTCGTGGTGCTGAGAACGTATAAAGGAGGAGCAACCAATTTGACTTTTATCTGGACGTCTTCAGTCGAAACTGCTTCTCCCGCTTGAAGCGCATTACGAATGGCCTCGATACCTGCATAAGCGAAACATTTGACCTCGATATCGGCTCGGACTTTGACGGGTTTAGGTGTGAGTCGACGAGCAATCACAGCACGCAGATCGGCGAGCGTGTCAGCGTCGATAGAGAGTGATGAAAATACGTTGTCGGGTTCACTGATTGTCAGAATGCACAAGATATGACAACATACGATATGGAGAGTTTGAACGCTTCGTAGGCGTGTCCGAATTGTCGGTGCAGAGGAAACGCAACCTTCTCATACAGCTCTTCGACGGGTACGCCCCTCTTCTTCGCCACTTGGGTGAGGATCGAGTCGACTGATTTCCCCTTTTCAAACTGCTCTTCACACTTGACCACCTCTTCTGCTGATACTCGTCGTTTTGACAAATCAATGTATCCTACGTGACATCAGTAACATGAATAAGAAGGAAGAAGCACAACCCACCCTTGTCAGGATCCACACGCATGACAACGACCACCTCGTTTCTTCCCACTCTGATAAGTTTCTGGACCGAGCGAATACGTCTCCGGGACAATTCCGACAACAAGATCATTCCCTCGATATTATCGTATTCGAGCTTGAAACGATCAGTACTTGACTTGCAATTCATTCAAACACAATTTTCGCGATACTCACCAATGTCACGTATGCTCCCATATCCTGGATAGACTGAACTTGAACCATCACCAATGAATCCACCTATAATGTCAGCTTATTCCAGTCCTAGCGGCCATGATAGCTGACCTCGGGATACTTGTTCTCGTAGAAGCGCGGCATACTGGGCAACGCAAAAGAAGTGATAGAAAGTCTTTATGACTTGGGAGGCGCTTTACCTGCCTGTCTGTGGCGGTTTGAATGATTGCTCGTTGTTGTTTTCACTGGCGACTGGGCAACTGACCTCGGTCGATGGGATACAAAGTATCAGTGTCGATGGTGATGTTTGCAACTCGAGTCGTACTTTATAGTATCGTCAATGTCGACTGAACTTTTTAGAGAGATTGAGTCGTCAAAGACAAAGAAAGTCGTTTTTGCTAAATCTCGACCGACCACGCGACACATCTCGGAAATACCGGCGATAAAGCCACACCCAAACCGTTCAAAGTCCAAGTGGCACCCCTCGAACCCGGTCCTCCGGCTACTTTACTCGCCGAACGGGAACTTGCTTTGCGTGGTCCCCATATCATTCCACCCTCTCTCTGTCTTCCTTTCAAGAGGCAGCAATGCAACTCACTAGAACCCTCACACTACTACGTGCTACACCTCGACCAGTGACTACTATCGTCCTTCGCGCCATGGCATCTTCACCGACTCAAGCAGAACAGCTCGTCCTTCCTAGTCGATCGTCAACGGGCAAAGTAGCCATCCTCACTCTGAATCGACCCAAAGCCCTCAACGCACTTTCGAGCCCACTGTTTGCTCAGCTCAATCAAGAGCTTGAAAAGGCCGATAGCGATGACGAGGTCCGCGCCATCGTCGTTACAGGCGGGGAGAAGGTGTTTGCTGCTGGAGCAGATATCAAGGAAATGAAAGACAAGGAGTGTGAGTCTTGACCACCCAGAAGAGTGTGCGTGTGACACAGCTGATAGAATCATCTAGTTTCCGAGGTGTACAAGGCAGACTTTCTCGGAGATTGGTCAAACATCACCAAGATTCGTAAACCCATTATTGGCGCTGTTGCAGGCTACGCAGTGAGTGCTCCTAAATGTGTCGGTCAACAAGATTGACAGCTCATATTTTCTAGCTGGGAGGAGGCTGTGAATTAGCACTCATGACCGATATATTAATCTGTACACCAAACGCCACCTTTTCGCAACCCGAGATAACCCTCGGTATCATCCCAGGAGGAGGAGGTACTCAGCGTCTGGCAGGTCTGATCGGTAAAGCCCGAGCGATGGATCTAGTTTTGACAGGTCGACGAATCAGCGGTACAGAAGCTGCTCAGTGGGGCATAGCATCTAGAGTAGTTGAGGAAGGTGAAAGTGTTGTCGAGGCGGCGGTCAAAGTCGGTGAGACTATTGCTGGCTTTGGACGAATCGCTGTGCAGGCTGGGAAAGAAGCTGTCAATGCAGGTGAGTACCAGAATCACACAGAGAGATAGAGAGAGAAAGGAAGGAATTGAGCTGATTGATCGATAGGCCTGGAATTACCTTTGGAACAGGGCTTGAAAGCCGAAAGGAGACTCTTCCAGCAACTCTTTGCAACGCAGGATCAGAAAGAAGGTGAGTATTCAATTCGTCTTCGTTACTCGTGGCAAATGGAACTGTATCGTGTGTATGCTGATTGTGACGCAGGAATGGCAGCCTTTGCAGAGAAGCGAAAGGCAGCTTGGACCGACAAGTAGACAGCATCCCGATTGGCGAGGCGGGCAATGCATCGTTATTCAGAAGCGCACGCTGTGCAGTGCAGATATTAACATTGTGCATATATCTTTTCTTATCGATTGGTTCTCTTCTTGAATCACGAACATCGACGTGTCATGAGAAAATGTTTCCTATCATCTGCATGGTCCCCTTCAATCAAACCACGATTCATGCCTCAACGACATATACCTACTGCTGGTCCTTTGGGGTGGTATCAACTCCAGCCTGGACAGAAGCGGCGGTAAACTTCTTGCGGAGTTCATTGATCTTGCCAAAGAATCCATCCTCGCCAGTAGTGTTTGGCTTTCCATCCCATTCTTCGTCGTGCCTATTCGTGGATCAGCGAGGTTTCTCAACCCCCTTGGGAGATCCCATAGCTAAAGAAAGATAACGAAAGCGAGAAATTGACTATAAAGTGGAACAGAGCATGGATATTTAGGGTACGATGACGTGGAGCAGATGAATTGGCGGATATAAAGAAAAAGTCAAAGTACAGTGAAGAGACATGACTCGACTCACTTGACAATCAAGTTGGAAGACGGATCGACGTGCAGGGTGATGAGCGAGTTGACGAGTTTCTCTGTAGGTGGGAGTTTGAGCTTATAGAGCTGAGAAAGAGAGAACTGGATCGAGGGAGGTTTCTACAGTGTGCCGAAAAACAGAGGTCAACTCTATTTTGCCACTTATTCTCTCGCACAAGTCAAAGAATCACGTACGACCTCTGGATTATCAAGCACTTTATAGCCTTTTGTGATTGAGCTCGAAAAGATCTTTGGCATCCCTATGTAGATCCATCAATCAGCTTCCGAGCCTGATTTGTTTCACAGATGTCTTCCAAGGCGAAAGGTAACGGACCGTTGAATTGTGCTTTCTGATAGAATGATCAGCCACGGTTCAAGGGGTTCACAGCATTGTGCTCTGGATGAGTGGAAGGGAAAATACGATACTTACCACCGACTCGAGACCCTCAGCAAGACCAATGGGATCGTGAAAAGTCGCATTTTCGCTGTATCGAGCGTAGGCAGCTGTGATTGGGTTGAGCTGGTCTAAGTGGTGTATCAGCACTAGCATCTCCGTATACGAGTACAAACAAGGCCGAAGACACGCATATAAGATGATGGACAGAAATTATGAATTTAACTCGAGGAAGATATAAAATGGAGGGAGTAGACGAGATGTAGGAGATGGAGGGTAGGGTACATGGGGTTGGACCAGAGATAAGACATACAAAGATTCAAAACATCTTCAATCAAAGCCTTTTCTTCAGAAGAAGGCTGACGTTCAGTAAAGTTGAAAGTAGGGATAGAAGACATTATTCTTGTATTGTTGAGCTTGATGGTCGTATATCTTGTAGTTTGTCTCAATAATGAAGTTCTCGTCAAAGACATAAAGAGATTCAAAGTAGTAAGTGGAGAAACGATTGAATCAGAGTCGAGCAAGTAAGAGAGAAAGAGAGAAGATCATTTAAGCTCTTTATACGTTACATCACCACTAGTCGTAGATGGATGAGATGGCCTTCGGCGTCTTTTTCATCTCTGGAATCGGATCGATCGGAGGGCAGAGATCGTTGCACAGATACTCCAAATAGTACGTACTCGAGTTAGTTACGTCATTTCACTCATGGTTTTGAAACACCCGGGGTTAGTCACTTCACGTGATCAAGTTCCGAGTCAGTTGCAAAATGCAGAAAGTTATCGTATCCTATCCTATCCTATCGCATATGAGCATGACCAGTAGCGATAAATACACAAATATACAGCACCAGAATACACAAAGATCAGAGCACAATCATCGGATTTTGTAAAATAGCTCAGAACACGCCAATCCCTTTTGAACATCTAAACTCGCGCCTCAACCCTCTCTACTTCCCGTAACCAGCCCTCAAGCTCCCATTCTTCAGTCCTAGCAGCACTCTCTTCCGTCTCCATGCTCACGTCGCTCTCCTTACGTCGTCGAGCACTGCGAGTGGTGG